CAGTGTGGGCCAGCAGACCACCATGGTCCTGGCTGGCTCCAACTCCTGGGGAAATGGCCTCGTGTCTGGGTCCTTTTCCTAGCTGAGGGATGGGCACCCAATGGGTAAGCCTGAATAACAAGGACAGCAGCTGGAATTCAGGGCTTGCTGTCTGCCTTCCTCTTTTCCCCAGTTCTAGCTGCTCCTCTATGCTGTGGATGTTTCCATATCCGTGTCCCTTCTTCACATGGCTGTGTGTGTGTAGAACTGCTCTTAGATCTCTTGGCCTTCTGTGAGAACTTCAGAGCCAGTAACCTGGGTTCAAATCCCTCCTACACCATTGTATATCTTTGTGATACACTTTGCCTCAGTTTCTTCATCTGAAAACAGGGCTAATGATAGTACCTGCCTCACAGGTTTCGTTGGGAGGAATACCTGAGCTAAACTTGTCAAGTGCTTAGGATAGGAGCTGGTCCATGGTATTCCCTGCTAGAAGGAATGTTCCATGTGGGCAGGGGCTGTCTAGCTACCACTGGATCCCCAGAGTCTAGCACACCATCAGGCATCCAATATTCGTGGAATGAATAAACAAACCTCTCCTCTACAGCAGACCCCCTTTAAAGGGAAAGCATAATTATTAAATTAAAGCAGTGAAACTATAATTATCATTATTGGAAGAAATAGCTGCAGCAAATACCTTCAGACTAAAATCTGAAAGGTGGACCATTATGACCTGTGGAATCCCTTCTGGCCTAAAAAAAAAAAAAAATGCTTACTACCCTATATCATCACCAACTTCCTTTCTGCCATGGAAACAGGCTCATTCCTGGCAAATCCCTCATTTCTCTATATTTTAGGTTCTTGAGAATGACAAGGGAGAAAATTAAAAGCCCTTATAAGCCTTCCAGGGACAGGTGAATAAGAGAAGGGGCATCCTGCAAAGGCTCTTGGCTCTTCAAAGCCAACATGGTATCTTTTCTGCTGCCTGTGTCAGTGGCAAAGTCTTGCAGGACCAGGGGGCAGGGGGCAAGGTGGGTACACCCTGCCTTTGGGAGCTCTCCGAGGCAGATGGGTCAACCTCTTTCCATGGAAGAGATCCAGGCCGTCTTTCGTAAGTGGGTGGTAGGGAAGACTGTCAGATCCTGAAACGAAGCAAGTATTTACTAAGCATCTGCTATGTGTCCTACACTTGCCTGAGACTCAGCCGTGAACAAATGGACAGGCTCCCTGCCCTTGTGGGACTAGTGGGCCGGTGTGGGAGACGCACCTCAATGAAACGATCTCACAACACATCACAGCACACTGAGTAATGCAAGAAAAGCCCAGGTGAGCTGTGCCGACAGGGCCTTTGAAGATAAATCTCTCCCCTGGTGCCGGTGAGTCCGTGGTCACTCCTGTTTCACTTCTGGAACAGGTGTGCTACAGACTCCCCAGGGCAGGGTAGGGCTTGCTCCCTCTCTTTTTTCCAACTACGGGTCCGTTTTCCCAGGGAGGGACACGCAGTATGTGCCCCATGGATTGCATCTGGGACACCAGGAGTACAGGATGAGGCCCACCGAACAAGGCATGACTCCCTGAATGCACCACGCTTGCTCCTGCTTTGTGAGCCTCTGTCCAAACACTCTGCCTGCCTGGAACGCCCTTCCCTACCACGCCTGCCCAGAGAGCTCTCCTCTGGGCCTATATATCATCCCTGTTGCGCCTTCCCTGACGGCCCGGGATGCACTGGGCCCTTTTCTGTGCTCCCACAGCATGCTGGGCATAGTTCTGTCTCGTGCTTCCACATGGCAAGCAGCAGGACGTGATGGTGAGGGCGCACACTGGAATCTTGGTTCCTCCCCATGGTTTGGAGGATTAAATGAGATAATACGTAAATGGTGCTTGGCACCAGGCCTGGCACGTGGGATGGGCCCGATCAGGGTGCACCAAGAGGGTCTTTAGAGGCAGGGCAGGGACCACGTGTGACCTTCCTTCATACCCCAGCACCTGACTCAGTTCCTAGCACGTGGGGGGGATTCACCTGGAACAATCAGCATCTGTATTCTGCCAGAGGAAACTGAGATCACTCTCTGCCTCGCCCCCCGCCCCCCGCACCCATCAAAGCGCATATCCAAAGACACAGGCCTGTACCCCCAGCCTCGGGTAAAAGTGCACTGATACTGTTCACAAGCCCTCCCTGGAAGCTTTCTCGTGTTTTCCTAAGGAATTCATAGTCTGTTCTGAAGAGCCTTCTGGCCCCACTGCATCTGCACAAGGGCCCACCCTGGGGAGGCTGTGGAGACTGTTTCCTGTGTGCCTCGTGACCTTCAGGAGTCTTCATCCACTCCTCCCTTCAGCAAGTGGGCAGAATGAGCCTCTCCCTACCCAGGTCTGTGTGTCAGAGGTGTATGCGAGGCGAGGGCATTGCCGGCAAGTAGGCCCCCTCCTACCCTCCGTCCACAGGAGGCTTCTGTGTGGCCACAAATCCCACAACAGACCATCTCTCAACCCCCAAGTGAGCCGGCTTCCTGAGATGCAGCTTGGCCACAGAGAGACGGCCATCATCCAGTGAGGCGTCAACTAATGACAACCAGGGGACCAGGGCGGCCAATGATTCTGCTCTCACCCATAGATAGGCGACTGCCCTGCTGGACCCCACTGACCCCTCCCACACGGTGCCCAGGGGACATTCAGGACGACATCCTAACCTCACTGGTTCCCCTGCAGTACAAAGCAAGGGTCTAAGGATTTATCCCCCCATTTTCCAGATGGAGAAGTTGAGGCCCCGAGCCAATAGGTGCTTCTTCCTGGGGCTGTCCAGAGTCCACTGGTGAATATCTGCAAGGAAGCCTGGGCCTGTGTCTCTAGGGCTTTCCAGGCATGCTCATGTGGCTCAAAGGAGCCCAGACAGGCAGTGCTGGGGCTGGACTGATCTGGATTCTGCACAGGCGGGACCCAGGCTCCTCCTGACTCCCTGCAGTCCTGGCCACACCATCTCGCCAGTTCTGTGATCTTCTTTCCTCATCCCTGTGCCGGGGCCAACCCACCTGCAGGTCCTTCCACACCACCCGCAGCCAACCACAAAAGCCCAGGGGAACCCACAGGTTGGACCTGAGGGTGAGAGCTGTGGGGTGGCAGGATGAAAGGAGAGAACCAACAAACCGGGAAAGACGGGTGGACATGGGTCCTCTGGCTTGATCAAAGCCCGGCCAAGGGGAAAACCAAGCTGACTACTCACTCGTATTCCACCCGAGCCTCTTCAGCACATTCTTCCCTTCTGAAAATATTCCTTAACAAAGAGCTGTCTGCTTCTAGCAGGCCCAAACCCAGCCCCACCGGGTCCCAAATGCCGGGAGAGAAGGAAGCCGTTTCATTTTGGCATGATACACTGGTCGTGGGTGAAGGAACTCACGCGGGCTATCAGGGGCTGCCCCTGGCAACAGTGCTGGCCCTGCCATTTGAGGCCAGTGGGCGAGATGGGGTCAGGAGGCTGGTCCTCCCAGTCTGGTCAGACTTCAGGACTAGGCCAGGAGCAGCCTGAACCCCTCCCCACCAGGGGGTGGCATAAATCAGGGGGCAGGCAGTGCTTCCTTTTGGGAGACTTCAGTGTAGGAGGGAGAGTGAGTGCCCTTCCCTTTGAAGAAGGGCAAAGCAGGTGGAGATGGATAAAGGGGAAGAGGCCTGGGGCAGGTGTCCACAGGAGTGCTGGGAGATTCTGGGTCACCCTGCCACCCTTCCGGGCCCTGACGCGGATACCAGGTCAGGAAGGCTGGTGTGGCTGGGCAGGCTGGCTGCCTGGGGCAGGGTAGGCAGCTCAGGTCTCCAAGTTGGCCTGAGCTGGGAGCTCTGGCCACCACAGGAGGACCTGGGCAGGTGGGATCCATGGAGGTGTGTGAAAATGCAAAGGAGTCCTGCGTGTGAGAGTGTGTGTTTGTGTGTGTGGCGGGGGGGGGGGGCCAACTGTCGGGGTCTGTGTTGGAGGTCTGAGCTCCTCCGTGTGTGCTAAGGATCCAAGTGTCTAGCTCTGTGTGTGTGTGTGTATGTGTATGCCCACCAGCAGATCAGGGGGCTCCTGGCTGTTTGTGTGTTAAAGGCCAGGGTGTCTGTCAGTATGAGTTGTCAAGGGTTCATGGTCATCTCTCTCTGTAAGAACTGTTGGCTCCCAGATGTGTGTGTGGGGGGGGGGCACGCACGGGTGAGTGTGGGGCTTTCAGAAAGATGTGTGCCTCTGAACCTGAGGGAGGGTTCAGAGTATCTACTGGGAGGTCCTGAGCAGGAGGTGAGGGTGGATTTTCAGGAGGAGTCAGGCTCAGGGGTGTGTGTGGAGCTGCTGGAGTGTGCTGGGAGGAGCCTGAGGAGTGATTTTTCCGGGTGCCCTTGGCCATGGGGTTGCTGGGGGTGGGAGATGGGCTAGCAGGCTGAGGGGAGGCCCGTGGTAGGAATCCTGATTTAGAGAGGCTAGGGGAAGGGTCCTGTGGGGTTGGAAGGGAGGGGTAGGGCTCTGAGGCCCCTAGCCTTGGGGCTGGGGGCAGGTCTGGGCCCAGAGATAGGATGCGAAGTGAGGGGAGGGATGGGGTGGCAAGGGGTCTGCAGATGGGAGGGGTCCTGAGGGATCCGGACAGAGGGAGGGCGGGCGTCCTGGCCCTGAGGGGGGCCGCCGTGGGGGGCGGGTCTGCGAGGTGGGGGCTGGGGGAGCCCTGAAGGGTCCGGGAGGAGTCCTGAGGGTCTATGGAAAGGGTGGGCGGGGGTCACGGCCAGGGAGTGGGGGGAGGCCCCTGCAGAGGGGGCGGGATGGGGGAGGGGCGCCCGGAAGGGTAGGGGGAGGGGCCCCGAGGGGTCCGGAGGCATCCGGAACGAGGGTGGGCGGGGGCCTCGGCCCAAGGCTGACGTCTAGGGTCCGTGCCGGGAGTGCCGAGGGCTCCCAGCGCGGGTTCCGTGGCGAGGCAGCCCGAGTCTCGGTCTTGCCGGGCCCCGCGGGCCGCAGCGCGGAGCCGCCGGCCTGAGAAGGCGCCCGGGAGGCCCGGCCCGCGCCGCCTGCCTACCTGCGCCGAGCGCGCTGCCATCGCCGTGCTGAGCCTCACTGTCCCGGGCCGCGCCGCTGGATCCCCGCCGCGCTGCTCGCCCCGCAGCCCCGGCCCGGCCCCCTCAGCCGCCCCCCGGGACCGCGGCCGCCGCCGGTTCTGCCGCTGCCATTTCACCCGCTGACAGGAGCGGCTGCCCCGCCCCCGAGGCCCAGTCAGCCAATTCGCCGCCCCCAGGCACCCTGGCTCCGCCCACTATCCAGGAGTGACGGGGTGTCGGGCCAATCCGTAGCCATTCCGTGAGGAGGGCCCGGGCTACGGCCAGAAGGTTGCCGCCTCTAAGGAGAGAAGCAAATTGAAATTAGGAAAGCAGTGAAGGACGGGTAGTTTTGCCTATCGACATGTGGATAGGTGTTGAGCAACACCTGGCGGCACCAATAACAAGGGGAGAGGGGTGTGTCTCTGAGGGAAGGCTGCGGCCCTGAAGAACCCCAGACGGAGGCAGCCAAGCGTTTGGCCCTAAGCCCCGCCCAGAGCCGGGCTCTCTGCCCAATAACGAGACGTCCTGAGCCGTCCATTATTATCTGCCCCTCAAATCTCGGCCATGGCAACTGTTGGGACTCTATAAAGAAGATTGACACCTGGGGACCCAATAACACTGAAGGAAGGCGGTGCAGTAACACTGCCTGGCCAATGGGATCGTGAGATTGGTTTGCGGTTAGCCTCCCTGGTGGTGGGGCTTGAGGCCTGATTGAATGAAATGGGGGAGGAGCTGAGGGGGGCGTGACCTAGACAACAATGGGGCGGGGCCAGTAAGGGAGAGGCTAATGGGTTAGGTCTGAGAAGGGGCGTTGGCAGGCTGAGGGGGCGGTGATGGGACTGCATTTTTGAGCCCAGCTCGGTGCTGGGGGCGAGGCTGTTGAGGGTGGGGTCACGTCCAAGGCTCAGGCCCGTCCCCTAACCTAGTCTAGGCCTGGTTAAGTATCTTCCCTGGGGCTCACAGTGACTTAAGTTCCCCCATCAAAACTCTGACCAGGCTGTGTCATCACTGCTTACACGGCCCTCCCATCCCCCACGTGGGGGCTGGGGGCGGGTGGGTGATGCAGGGCCTAGGTCAGGTCTCCCCCGCGTCCCCAGCGTTGCTGAGCAGGGGCCAGGCTCGCGGGAACCAAGTATAAATGCTTGATGAATGAATGAATAAATGAATGGTAGGCCCAAGACTCTCAACAGGGAAGAAAAGGGTGGGGGAGTGTCACTCAGGCTGGGAAGGAGTATGTAGGGACAGTCACTGACAGCAGGCAAGACTTAGCAAAAAGGACACTATTCCATCCCAAGGGATGGGCCCTGGAGGGGATGGGGCAGGGAAGGACCCTGTCACAGAAGAGAAGGTAACAGTGTAAGTTCAGGATGGGGGCTGAAAATGGGGAGGCAGAAATGGATGTGGGAGGGCTGGGACGGAGAGTGGGGCTGTCAGGGCCTTCTAAGGTCTGAGATATCAACCTTCTAAGTACTAGGGGCTTCTATCTGGTTTTGGGAGCAATGACTGACATCTGTTCGCTGCCTGCCCCTGGCCATTTCTCTTTGCCTCTGTCTACACTCTGTCCCATCTGCATTTTGCTTCTGTCTGCATCCTCTCTGCCACTGTGTATTCTCTCTGCCCCTGCCTAACTCTCTGAATACTGTCCACACCCTCTTTGCCTCTCTCTTACTATCTACATTGCATCTATTAAAATTCTGGAACTGTAAGAAAAGCCCCAAAACATATTTCTAAAAACTCGAGTGGTAAAAATAAATGTAATGCATTCCTTCTCCCCACATGCCCGTATCCCCTCTCCCTTTTTTTTTTTTAAAGAACATCTTTACCTCCCTTCTTTTAAAGTCAGCTTCTCTGCTGGGCATTTCATAGTCCTGACAAAGTTGTAAGGTGACTTTGGATTTGCAGAGTATGAAGCTGAAATGAATCTCATCGACATTGTACCCTGATTTCTGGGTGGGCTTGAGGGGGTTCCGTAGACCTGCATGGACGTGGTTAGAAATGCGATGCACGGTGGGCGTTAAGTCAGGAAGGTAAGAATAATGCCAGGACATGGTAAGGATCCAGTGACCAGCAAGGGACAATCTTTATGTTGGCTGCCCGTGATCCCTCAGTGTGGGGGACTGAGGAGCCATCATAAGGGCCAAAGTCTTGGGGTTTACCTGGGTTTCCAGAGGTTTTCCCCACTAGTGTTCCCCTCAGGAAAGAACAGTTTGGTGTGAGTCACACCTTCCAAGGAACAGAAAAACCTGGACTGGTAGCAGGGATGTGAGAGAAGAAGGGGTCTATAGAAGCACATGTCTGGGTGGGGTCCAGGGCGCCCCAGAAAAGGGTCATGACCAGTTCATTTCTGGGGCCTTGCCTGAGAGATTAGCAGCATCTGGTGTCTGGTGAATAAAATCAAACACAAGAAAAGATGCACAGGACATTTGACCCTCTTGTCTTCACATTGCCATTTCCACACAAAGGATGGTTTTATTCTGGGGACACTTTGATTCCATTTTTATAAGCACAGTGGAAAAAAAATCCAACACATTTCTGTTGGAAAATACTTTTGAATCACAAACTGCATTTAGCCAATTAGATTCCTGGATCACTTTTCTGTTTAGTGCAGCTAAACCATTCCCAATTTTTTTTTTTCTATGCTCAGTTTTACTTGATTGAAATAATCTTTATCAGGAACATTTTTTTCCATGTGATTTTTTGAAACATTCGATTCATTAATCAGGCTCATTTTGTCCAATTTTTACCAACTGCTAATTCTACTGCTGTGATTTTTTTGGTATGTGCTTGTCATTTCTCCAGAGTCGAATTTTGTACATTTGAATTTATTAAAAGACTCTTCTCTCAGTATTTTGCTGATAACAAATTTTAGCACAATCAAAAATTTTTTCTGGGTTAAACTTTGGACTCAAAATTCATTTGTTAGGAATATTGACTAGTGTGAGCCTAGACCTCATTTATCTCATAGAGAGAGAGAGAGAGAAAAAAAGCCACAGTATCTGTAGTTCTTTTTATGAGGAAGTGGAGTCTGTTTTCTTTTCACTTGAATTTGAGCTGGCTTGTCACCTGTTCTAACCAACAGACTGCATCAGAAGTGATGCTGGGCTAGTTCTCAGCCTAGATCTTAGGAGGCATTGTGACTTCTTTCTCTTTTTTGAAAAAAAAAATCTTTTTTTTTTTTTTTTAAGTAGCCTCCATGCCCAACATGGGGCTCAAATTTATGACCCTGAGATCGAGAGTCGCATGCTCTACTGACTGAGCCAGCCAGGAGTCCCTCTTTTTTGGAAAAATTTTAATTGTAATAAAATACATATAACATAACTCTTGCCATTTTTAAGACTACAATTCAGTGGCATTAAGTGCATTCACAGTGTTGTGCAATCAGCACTGCTATCTATTTCCAAAAAGTTTTCATCATCCCCAAACAGAAACTGTCCCCATTAAACACTAACTCCCCAGTTCCCTTGTCCCCAGCCCCTCTATTCTACTTCCTGTCTCTATGAATTTGCCTATTCTAGGGACCTCATATAAGTGGAATCATACAATATCAGTCCTTTTGTGTCTGGCTTCTTTCACTTAGCATGATGTTTGTAAGGTTAACTTATGCTGTAGAACTTTATTCCTTTTTACGGCTGAATAATATTCCATTGGATGTGTGAACCACATGTTGTTTATTCACTCCTCTGTTGATGGACATTCAGGTGATTCCTATCTTCAGGTTTTTGTGAATAATGCTTCTACGAACGTGGATGTGCTGATACCGAGTTGAGTTCCCGCTTTCAATTCTTTTGCTATCTACCTAGGAGTAAGAATTGCTGGACCATAGAGTAATTCTGTGTTTGGCTCTTTGAGGACCGAAAAGAGTTTTCCACAGGGGCTGCATCAGATTATATTCCCACCAGTAATGCGTGAAGGTTCCTATTTCTCCACGTCCTTGCCAGTACTTGTTATTTTTCATTTAAAAAATTATAACTATTTAATTTTTTTAAGATTTTATTTATTTATTTATTTATTTGAGAGAGAGAGAGAGAGAGAGAGAGAGAGAGCAAGTGCATGCATATGAGTGGGGGAGGGGTAGAGGGAGCAAGAGAATACCAAGCGGACTCCACACTGAATGTGGAGCCTGACTTGGTGCTCGATCCCAGGACCCTGAGATCATGATCTGACCCGAAATCAAGAGTCAGTCGCATAACCGACTGAGCCACCCAGGTGCCCCATGAAGATTTTAACTTTTTTTTAAAAGATTTTGTTTATTTATTTGACACAGAGAGAGAGAGATCACAGCAGGGGGAGCAGCAGACAGAGGGAGAAACCAGCTCCCCACTGAGCAGGGAGGCTGATGCGGGATTCGATCCCAGGACACTGGGATCATGACCTGAGCCGAAGGCAGACGCTTAACCGACTGAGCCACCCAGGCATCCCGAAGATTTTAACTTTTGATGAAGGTCCAATTAATCTATTTTTCTTTTGTTGCCTGTGCTTTTGATATCACATCTTAGAATCTGTTGCCAAATCCAGTGTCATAAAGCTTGAACCCTGCGTTTTCTTCTAAAAGTTGTATGGCTTTAGCTCTAATATTTAGGTTGTTGATCAATTTTCAGTTAATTTTTATATCTGGGATGAAGTAGGGGTCCAATTTCATTCTTTTGCATGTGGAGATTCAGTTGTCTCACACCCTTGTTGAGGACACTATTTTTTTCCCTATTGAATAGACTTGGTACCATTGTAAAAAATTAACTGGCTATAGATGTATGGGTTTATTTCTGGACTCCTAATTCTGTTCCATTGGTTATATGTCTGTCCTTATGTCAGGATAGCTTTGTATTAAGTTTTAAAATCTGAAAGTGTGAGTCCTCTGACTTTGATTTTTTTTTTAAAGATTTTATTTATTTGACAGAGAGAGCACAAGCAGGGGGAGCAGCAGAGGGAGAGGGAGAAGCAGGCTCCCCGATGCAAGACTTGATCCCAGGACTCTGGGATCATGACCTGAACCAAAGGCAGCTGCTTAACCGACTGAGCCACCCAGGCGTCCCTGACTTTGATTTTCATTTTTGAAATTGTTTTGGCTTTTTGGGGCCCCTTGCA